CGCAGTTGGCGTGGCGCATGCGCAGCGCGCGGCGGCGGGGGGCGCAGCGCAGCCCCGGACAGCTGGCGGGGGTCCCCAGGGCCGGGGGGGCACGGCCGGGGCCCCGGCGCGGCCCCTGCGCTGCGTCCCGCTCTGCCCCGCATGGATGGAGCCTCGCAACCTCCGGTGCCCGCTGCGCTCGCGCCCGGGAGGCCTGACAGGTAACGGGCCCCCGCGGGCCGGACGGGCCCCGCCGCCCTGACAGACACCCCGCGCCCCCGGATCCCTTCCCTGCCCGGTGCCCCTTCCCCGGCAGCCCTGCCCCCGTTCCCTCCCCGCTCAGGCACACCTCGTCCCTTCCTCTCCCGGCCGTGGTTCCTTTGCTGTCAGCTGTGCCCCTGTAGCCCCTTCCCTGTCAGCAGCCTGCCCTGCAGGCCCCGGCCCCCTCCCCTCTCAGCTGCCCCCCTCAGCTCCCTTTCCTGACGTCTGTCCCACCTGTTCTCCCCAGCCCAGGCTCTGTCAGGTGTCCCCTTATTGCCCTGGGGTGTCACCCCCTTCTCTTCACCAGGGGTCTGACTGCCTTTAAGGGTCTCTCCTTTATCCATCCTCCCACCCCTTTTCCCCAGCCCCTCTTCCCCCCAGCCCTGCATCGTCTGCTGCTGCCCCCCTCCAGGTACAGCCCCTGCCTTTGGCTTCCTTTCCCCCTCCCACCTGGCACTGCCCCTCCTCGCATTCCTCTCCCCTGTGCTGGCTGTGACCCTGCCCTGCTCCCTCCTGTGCTCGCTGTCCCCTGGTTTGAGCCTTCACAGGAACGTTCCCTGCCCTGCTGGGTGTCCTGCAGCCCCTTGCCTTGCAGAGGGGACCAGCCTCTCCTCCTGTGCCGGTTAAACTCCTTGCTGGAGCTCCTGGCCCGTGTGGGACCTGGCGCTGGGACGTTCCCTGCGCGGGCTGGGGGCTGCCTGCTCTCTTTTCGCGTGGATGTGTCAGCCGGGGACCAGGGGGAGGCAGGATTGCAGTGGGAGGGCTGAGCTGCGAGCAGCGTGTGGGCTGAGAGTGTCAGAGTTTCCCTGACAGTGCCCTGTGCTGCCTCTGCCAGGGCTCCCATCTCACCTCGTCTCCTGGCTCCCTGCTCCAGCCATCTCTGCTGGGGAGCTGCTGCTCCCGACAGCTCCTTCAGCTGGAGAAAAGACTCCTTTTGACAAGGTGTTTGCTGCCAACCAGGGCATTCCCTCTTGGTTTTTCAGGTTTCCTTAAAAAAAAACCCAAAACTCCTATCTATACTTATATATTTTAATTTGATCTGTGACCTCTTGGAAAGTCAAGGTAAAGAGAGCAGGGAAATAAGTTGTGAGGATAAAGAAGCCTCTCAGGGTGGGTCCTGGGTGGTGTTTGGAGGGGTGAAATAATTTAAAGGGAATGCTGAAGGGGAGGGTGTGAGGAGTCTTCCCTTGGGATGAGCCTTGTATCCAGAGGCTCTGGTGTGCAGAGTGCTGCTTTTTTCCAGTGACCTTGAGTTTGGAGCCTGAGACACGTGGGCACATGCAGGCAGTTAGGAGTGGGATTGCTTGTTTGCAAGTGCTGGTTTCTGGGGTCCTGCTGCTCTGTGGAGCTCCTAGGGTGGATGGAGCTTTCCCAGAGGGTGCAGGTGCCAAGGCTGGGGCTGTGCCAGACTGTGCAGAGCCCATCGCTGTGTTCCTGTGGGTGGGAGGTGCTCAGGTGGCTCCAGGAGAGGGGAATACCGTCCAGCAAAGGAGCAATCCCCCACATCCAGGCTGTGGGAGTGTTTGATGTTAAATTGATGGAATCAGTTGTGTTATCAGTGTCGAGGTCTTGTTTCCAGGCTCGGAGTGAGTGTTCCTCTCCATGCCCTGGAGTACCCTTTGGAAGTGTACTTTCCCAGGAGCTTAGGGGGCTTTTCAGTGGCTGTCAGTGTAAACTGAGCCTGCCCAGTCTGGAGCCCAGGGAAGTCTGTGCCTTGTTCATTTTTGACCGTGGGTCCCTTTGTGCCCCGCAGTTCTGTGTGGCAGCCCTGCAGAGTCCGGGGGAAGGTGCAGCAGCTGCAGGTGGGCTCATCCTCTGTGTGCTCCAGGCAGCACTTGGAGGAGAGGCTGTCACCGAGGAGGTGACAGCAGTCACTGCCTCCCAGGTTTTCAGTCCTGTCCAGGTGTTCCAGGCAGCTTTGGAGCAGTGAGGGATGAGGGAAAGTTGTCCTTGAAGGGTGCTAGAGAAACGTGCCTGGTGTCATCCAAGAAATAACCCCAAAGAGGGCACGGGGTCGTGGAATGGGGTGGTGGGCAGGGACCTTAGGGATGGTTTTGTGGCAGTGGCAGGAGCACCTTCCACAGCCTGGGCTGTTTAGGGCCTGGCCTGGAGCAGAGGGAGGGTTGGGGTTGTTTCTGACTGTAGCCAAAGTGAAGCTGCTCGTGGAGCCAGCCCTCTAGCAGCAGTGCACGTTTGTCCTGAATTGTCCCTCACTCTGGGACTTGATCCCTCCTTCCACCAGGGGCTGGTTGTGCCGGGTTAGTTAAAAGCCAGAAGCTGCAAGAATGGGTTAGAGCAGAATTTGCACGGTGGTTTTGCCTAAAGAGGAACATTCTTTACCAATTTCCATGGTTGGAAGTTTCCAAGGAATTTCCAATTCCTTTAGTGGTGACAAAGACAGACTCTTTGGTGGGACTTCATGTAAGGAAGCCTTTGTGTCTAAGAAATTGGGAGGCACAGTTGATTTTTATTACATGTATTTTGCAGGAAATCCACAAATCTTGGGAGATTTTGCTTTATTCCAGGGTCTGTTTCAAGCTGGAGGATGGATCTACCTGTACAGTGCTGGGGTCAATAGTCTTTAGTGTTAAGAAAAGTTAATATTTATTTGTTTATTTATTTATTTAATATTTGAATGAGGTCACTGTCATATCCATGGGGACTGGGAGTCTGGGGATGTGATCAGTTGCGGCTAATGCTCAAAAAGTGATCTGGAATGTGAATTTGGGCTTCTTAATCCTTTGTCTGTGATTCCGTGGTAATTTAAAGGTTGCCAGAGCCTTTGTAGTTGTGGAATACCTGTCAAGCAACAAAAAATAGCAAAGGGGAAGGAGGAAGGGCTCTTGGAGCCTTCTTGGCCAAGCAAAGACACAAAGTCTGGGAGACCTTTGAGCATTTTGCAGCATCCAGTTGCCAAATCAAGCACTTTCCTGGAAAGAGACACCTTAGGCTCCTGCATTCCGTTGGACTGGGTTTTATCCAGGCCTGTTACCCAAGGTCTGATTGCTTGGATGATTTTCCTTGGCTAATGCCCAAAATGTGATCTGGAATGAGAATTTGGGCTTCTTAATCCTTTGTGATTCCGTGGTAATTTAAAGGTTGCCAGAGCCTTTGTAGTTGTGGAATACCTGTCAAGCAACAAAAAATAGCAAAGGGGAAGGAGGGAGGGCTCTTGGAGCCTTCTTGGCCAAGCAAAGACACAAAGTCTGGGAGACCTTTGAGCATTTTGCAGCATCCAGTTGCCAAATCAAGCACTTTCCTGGAAAGAGACACCTTAGGCTCCTGCATTCCGTTGGACTGGGTTTTATCCAGGCCTGTTACCCAAGGTCTGATTGCTTGGATGATTTTCCTCACCTGTATTTTTTAAGAAGTAAAGTTAAGCTGTTCCACAAGGTAAAAGATGCTGGCACAGAGGAGTCTCTGTTGAAAACCAGAGTTTTTAACAGTCTGTTAAGGAGTGGTGGTCTTGGGGGGTTTGGCTGTTCCTTCTCTCTGTTTATACAGAGGGGTTATAGGGTATTAATGGTTTTGCAGTGACTGATTTAGCTCTAAATTGGCCTCTTGGTGTGGGTTATTTATGGCTCTAGGTGGGAGATCTGGATCCTTCCATGCACATGCATTTTTCCACGTGTGTCCTTGAGGTTGTTTGGTGTTGTTGGAAGAGAAAGGAGCTGATTAGAAATTAACCATAACTAGAGGTAGGAAATGTGACAAAAAGACTCCCAAAAGAGCAGTGGGATGTTTGTCACTTGGGAGGTGACATAGTGGGGTCCTAAGAGCCAAATCCCATGGCTCTCAAAGAGGGAGACAAGAAATGTGCCTGGCAGGGAAGAAGAGGAGGAAGCTGGATGGTGCTTGGAGAGGGGAGGCTGTGGGCAGAGCCTGGGAATGTTTTGGGGAGCTCTGAGAGGGGTGGAAGGTGCTGAGGTGTGCTGGGACAGTGTCCCTGTGTATTTTGGGGTGTGCTGGGACAGTGTCCCTGTGTCTTTTGGGGTGTGCTGGGACAGTGTCCCTGTATTTTGGGGTGTGCTGGGACAGTGTCCCTGTGTATTTTGGGGTGTGCTGGGACAGTGTTCCTGTGTATTTTGGGGTGTGCTGGGACAGTGTTCCTGTGTCTTTTGAGGATGGACTTGGAAGCAGCCTGAGGCCGTTCCCTCTGCTCCTGTCTCTGTTCCCTGGAGCACAGCCCGACCCCCCGGCTGTCCCCTCCTGGCAGGAGCTGTGCAGAGCCACAAGGTCCCCCCTGAGCCCCCTTTTCTCCAGGCTGAGCCCCTTCCCAGCTCCCTCAGCCTCTCCTGGGGCTCCAGCCCCTTCCCCAGCTCTGTTCCCTTCCCTGGACACGCTCCTGCTCCTCAGTCTCTCTCCTGAAGTTTGGGGAAGCTGCTCAGAAACCTCTCAGAGCTGCAGAGTCAGCAGCTCCACCTGCCCTTGTGCCCAGGTGCTGCTGCTTCCTCCCCTTCCTGTCCTTGGCAGCCATTCCTCAGGGAAGT